GTGATATCTTCAAATAGAGAAGAGAGAAATGTTGGGAGATGTTCACGGGGCCTGTGCTGTGGCCGTTTCTGCAGATCACAGAATAGGACTAGCTGCTCGAACTGTTCCAAATTATTATATATCTACTATGTTCTCGTAACTGTATGAAGTAGCATGATAAAAGAACGTCTAGGGACACGTCTAGAGTCTAGGGTCATCGAGCGGTAACTACAATTTCTTTCGGCTCTATTCTAGTAATTATTTTGGGAGCTATTTATCAGATCTTGGTCAATTGGGATCTATGTATACCTACATAAATATGTAAAAAACATAATATCTTCAATATAATAAATACATTTGGGAAGATTAAAATTGGTAAGTTCTTTAATTTAATAATAATAATAACAAAACCTCACACACGGCCCAAACTAGGCAGAGCTTGTTCTATGGTAATCAGACTGCTGATACTGCTGTACTTATATAAATATTTAAATAACTGATAAATTACTAGATAATTATAATAGACACTTCATTATTTGTCCTGGGTGGGAATCGAACCTAGACTTCTGACTTTGATTTAACAGTATAAAACCACTCGGTTGTTTGGTTCCCTCGCTAACTCACCCTTAACATTTAACAAAAGGGGCCGTGTCTCAAAGCTTGATTTAGTTTCATTTTCTCGGGACCTTTGTTTGCCTCATGATACAGACACGTGTTATTTACGAGTCTAATATGATATATATTACATATAAACGATGAAAAAAATATAGATTATTTCAGTAAGCGGATCTGTTTGAGAATATTCATCACATCACATCAACAGACTATAACAGTCCACTGCTGGACATAGGCATGTCCTTAGAAAGGAAGTTTTGGCCTACTATACCACGCTGGCCAGACGGGTTAATATAAGGTTTGTTTCAAGTTTACCTTCTCTTTACTGTGCTGATGTCTGATGCGTAGTTTGCTCCCTTAGTCGGCTCTTACGACACCCACGGGATGAATAGGGGTAGTGATATACCGTATTCTTGAGAATATTGCATATAAGATAAGGTGATTTTGCCTAACAAAATCTTATAAAAGGAATAAGAAAAGCTCACACCTATAGTAAGATGAGGCTTTGAGTAAAGGTGGAGGTGGCTAGAAACAGGAATATCTAAGATTTTATTTTATGTAAGTAGTGTATATGTTAACTGATGCTAACAAGGAATAATAAAACTGTAAGTACTGACGACCGGATGGCGTAGTGGTTTGTGTAATGGACTGCTATTCCAAAGGTCGCGGGTTCGATTCTCGCTCAAGTCAAACATTTGTGTGCATGAACATTTAATGTTTGATTTGGTCTGGGTGTTTATATGTATAATAAGTATGTATTTACAAAAAAAAAGTAAATCTGTATTTATATCAGTTGTCTAGTAGCCATTGTACAAGCTCTGCTTAGTTTGGGACTAGATGGCGTTGTGTGAATGTGGTACAATATAAAAAAAAAAACCTATACGCCTACATCATAACATATTCTAATAAACTGTTTTATCATTCCTTAATTTATAACCCTTAGCGTTATTTGTTTTTTTCAAATTTAAATGAAACCAAGCGGTCTCATCAAATAAAAAGTCAAATTGCAGGAGTTCTGATGGTGCTCTTTATTATTAGTTTTCGACTTGGGGATACATACATACGTACGTATGTACAAACCCTAATGCCAGTGCCAAATTGGACGAACATGCGCCCTTCGACTGCCGTTGTAGTTGCCAAATAAAAGGATCTTTTTCGCGATTACAAACTAACATTTCACGATTGACATATTGACTGTAAGGTTTTTCCATATTTGGGGAAGTACTTCGTACTGAAGTGTTTCGTACTGTACAGGCAACTAGCCGCACGACTGACTCATTCTGACTCCTACGAGTTAATCAGAATGAGTCAGCCGTAAAGCTGACAATACAAAAATATCTGGAATGGTCCAATAGAATTCAGTGATTTTAAATTTACTTAAAATTTATAAGTATGAATTAAACGGTTTTATGGAAAGCTGATATCTCTACCGTCTCCATTCTTCAGTCGAGTCGAGTCCCTTATGGGTACTACGTAATATATTTACAGTATGCACGAGGATCCTGGGTATCAGAGTTTAACGTAAATCCTAAACATTGTGTTTGTGACGATGTTAATGTATTTTTGTGCCAAATTGAAAATAAATCTTAAATTTTTAGAAGTACTTATAAGTATTAAGTCAGTCAGTGTTACACTGCACAAAAATCTGGTTCTAAAATGATGGTTTAAATGCCTTCACTGTTCATTACCTGTCACATAAGCATAAATCGATGAAGCAACACAGTAGACTCGCCTTTTTATTACGTACAACACGTATTTAACACATAACAGAAATAGCCGTAGCGTAAATAATATACAAGGCTCTTCGCGGAACTATTGACGTACACCTGCGAGCTATTAAAATCGATTATCCATCGACATATAAATATATACTCATATGTAGATAATTACATAAATACTCCATTTCATATCAATCAATCTTTCTATCAATTTTAAATAGCAAGCAAGCCCTAACGAAAGTTGATAGCCCTTAAGGGATTACAAGTGTGACATGTTGTTAGTGCCTGACAAAGATTTTGTGGATATTAATACTCGAATCTCATCTTAAGTACGAAATCTAATCCTTTAGATTGTTCCCGAGATACGTCTGCGGTTAAAGAGCTCCACAACATCCAACCACAACAATCTGAATTGTACAGCATTTTTGTGTGTGTGTGTAAATGTGAGTATAGTGTAGGTTTTGAGTGTTTCCACGGCCTACTCGAATGTCCTGCTGGCAGTTTCACAGTTAATGAGATACAGTCTGGTGACAGACTGGTGGAGTCTTAGTAATAGGTTTTTACCCTTTTGGGTACGGAACCCTATAAAAAGACACCAGCGCCCTCTAGCTGCAAAGTCCAACTTGTAAAAATGTCAGAAATGATGTACTCACAGAAATAAATATAACTTATCCTTAATCCCTAACTCTTTAATTACCTGAGAACAGTATTAATAACCTGGCACCCAACAAACTTCTGTTTGATCACAACTAGGTTGGATGAGAATGGAAGCCATGACCTCCTGAAACTGCCAAGGTTATCATCATTTTCCTTTAAGTTCTGTTTCAAATCAGCACAATATGTAATATTACAAAGCGTTTTGGCTGGTTTCCTTCATGTTCGGATGCCTGGGTCAATCCTCCTGGAAATGGAACGGTTTGCTAATAGGACAGAGAAAGAAGGTATAACTGAGACTGTTGTAGTTTGACGAGGATGGAGTCTCTTTTTTTTTCTATGGTATAGATGAGCAAGCGGGCAGACGGTTCACCTGATAATAATAATAATAACCTCACACATCACACACACGGCTATCTGATTACAAACCCACGACCTCCGGTTTAGCAGTCAGGGTCACCAACCACTAGACCAACAGGCCCGTCAGATATATATTATAGATAAAATAAACCATGACACAGAACAAATTACCTTGCCGAACCCACAACCCCTGACCTAGAATGGCTTATACGAGTTTTCTGTGAGGCCGGTTGAGCTGGTCTATTTGTGCCAAGCATGGGTCTAGCACGCGCGTTCCCATGCCCGTATTTCTGTCCTGTGTTTGAATTGCCATTAGTCTTCGGAGTATGCTCATCGAATGGCTTAAAAGAAATAGGGTCCCAAGGCTTTTAAAGGCCCCTTAATCTACACCTTAGAAATGTTTCAAGGAATACCACAGGGACATTTTGGGACTTAATTTATTTTACCTAAAAAACAGTTTCTTTAATAATAAGTCATTATCTAAATATATTTTTATTGGTTTGTAAAAAAAAAATATATTTAAACAAAAATAAAAAGAACCATATTCAATGTTAGCCGAGGACTATGCACTAATGAAACGGGATACATTTTATTTTGGCTTACCTTAAAATAGTAGAATACGGTGGTTTAACTATGTACTTAGTTATACATTTCAAAAACAATTTACAGTTTCAAATTATACATTTTCTGTACAATTTACCTTGAATAAATTGAAATTGAAATTGAAATATATGGCGCTAGCTTTGTCACCTTTTCGGCATAACCAAAACTATTTTCTGCATTTAATTTGTTTAGAAAGATTTAATGTTTATAAAACATATACATAATACACAAACACGGTGTAGGTATGAAGCTTGGTATTATTTTTGTTCTTACAATAAACAGGAACTGCTTATTGCAGTCAATTGCTTAATATTTTAGCAAGAAGTTATTGAAATGAGTCGAACTACGCACAACTGACAAAGTATTGAGACTAATAATGAGTCTTGTTCAACAACAAACCATTCGTTCTGTAAGGAATTGGCATGTTATATTTTTTATCCAAAATCTACAGGGGTCCAGTTAATGCGAACGACACGGTGACGGCGTTCGGTGTTGCGATGATTGACCCGCACTGAAATCTTCGCCATTCGCAACGCCAAACGCGCTCGCCCTGGGAGATTGAGTTTATGTGAAATAAACTCACATTAGGCACATGCTGCCGGAGTGATGGCATGGCCTCATAGGATCACAGGAAACCGGTGATAAGCAATAATTTCGTCACATCAGGGAGTGGAATCCAGGACTCAATGCGGGTCAACGCGTTTGACTTTTGCGTTAAAGGTGCTCGTGGGCAACGGTAGTCACTTACCATCAGGTGACGCAGCTGCTAGTTTGCCCCCTGTACTTTAAAACAAGTCAATGTAATTCTTGTTCATAAATAATATAAGGAAATACTAAAGTGATCAAAATCATTTTTGTTACAAATTTTGCAACTTACAGTTGAAGAGCAATCAACCTTCACTGTAAGAAGTTTATCTTGCAAAGGTCCGTTTACATATTATATAACACATGGTATTCGTATACCGCAGGCACTATACAGGGTGCATCATAAAAGTGAAGTTTATGACTACTTTTTACGAGCATCTTAAAGTAGAGAAAATTTTGTTGATACGATACCTTCTTGTTACAGATATGCTTCAATCGTTATTACAACCAAGGGATAATCAGAGGCGTAAGTAATATTTTTCTTTACTTAGTATAAAATGAAATCGCTTTTTTTCTTGTACGCTTAGATTTTTTAAACTTCGCAACGGATTTTAATGCGGTTTTCACCAATAGAGAGAGTGATTCGAAAAGCGGGTTTATGTGTATAACACATGCATGTTATAATAGATCAAATCCGAGAATTTCAAAGATTTGTAATGTGAAGCCAGCCAAAGTCCGGCAGGAGCGGAGCAGGCGTATAGTAAAAATAACCTGTAGTATAGTCTTTTCATATTAATAGTATAATTAATTACTCACCACCACATTAGTAGTATTAGTAGTATCTACATTGCACCCGTGCGAAGCTGGTGCCGATCGCTGGTTTATAACATAATGCACAAGTTATACACAGTGGGACTTAGAGCCGGGGTATCTATCGGTCAACCTTGGGACGATTTAAAAATAGAACGCGGTAAGTACAAAGATGAAATATAAAATTACCTAAAGTAATTTGCCTAATTAAAGATAAACATCAGAAAAAATACACATTAGGTATGATTTACATAAATAGATTGAAGTATTATTTACTCAGAAGTCAAGAAGTATGTATTTACAAACATAATATATATAAACATTCACATAAATACATATAAATACCAAAATACACAGTAGGATATTAGCGTTGTGACCGCACATTTTTTTGTTAAATGTAAAGCGGTTTGCGAACATCCTAATTAATTTCTATTAACGTATTAATTTACACACACTTAATGGAAAACAAGAATGGGAACGATTGGATAAAAAAAAGCCTTAGAGAGATCAGTATAATAGCATAAGAGCCCTTAATTTGATTACCTACCTAAAAACCTACAGCGCATAGATAATTTAATGAACAATCTAGTTGACGTAAATGCTTAAAATATTTAACATAACACATCAATTTTATGAGTGTCATAACCGCACTGTTTCAATGCTCAAACTGCAATATTTACGATCGTAGAACCCACCCACTGTCAACTCATAGACATGCATCAAATGAACTGTCTTGTTACTATGAAAGTTCTACAAATAATGGTACTTCATGAGTTTATAAGTGACGATGTGCAAAATGTCAGGACGAAACAGAATTAGGGACAGTTGTTACACGATCGTAACGATTGTTTTCATAAATGTGTGTAGCTGTTTGTTTACTTATACAATGTGGGAAAATGGGTACGTAAGCATTCTTGCATTCTTTTAGGAATCGAACGCTTGTTAAGAAGTGCTTACGGTCACTTTTCTATTCCTTGCGGTCGTGCGGTGATGTTACAGGGTTGTTACATTAATCGATAAATGATCCTCCCGACACAAAAATAATTTTACAAATAGTGTGGGTAGTGATTACCAGTGATACCAGTGATTTTTGAACAAAACAAACGAAAGAAATTCTACTAACATTAATGAATATAGTATAGATAATGAATTTGTCTAGCACTAATTACCAGGAAACCATAAAATCAATTGGCTGATTCATGCATTCCAGCGAAGATGATCGGTGCGATGCCAGCGGTGGCTGTGCGCCACGAACGCCGGCGCGCAGAGAAGCGAAACACTGCTGCATTAGGGCGGAGACCCTCGCAACTGCCCCTGCAGATTAACCGCCCACTGGACGCGGATGCCACGCCTTCACCAGATCATCACCGTCTAAGAAATGAGCTGTATGTTTGCGGCAGGGTGAGTGAAGTGAGTTATCATCATCATCACCCCATTATTGTCCTACTACTTACCCTCTCCTTCCCCAGCTTAAGGTAGGCTGTTCTGTTCTGCATGCTTCCCAAGTTATGCTTAGCAAACTAATTATAACAATTAAAAAAAAGGTTTTAAAAAGGATTTCAGATAGGTAAGGTAAGGATTTTTTTTTATGGGTTATGGCAAACGGGCTTAATAACATATCATGGTGTGCATTACCAAAAATATTACTATCATGGGTGATAAAGACAAAGTAAACTTAGGATTTTTTATTGGGTTATTATAGCTTCTTCTACACACCCTCAGGCAGGGACAAATTTTGATTATTATTTTTCAAAAATTGCTGAAACGGCTCGATTCCTTTGCAGTTTACCTGCTTTCATAAAATGCTTTCTTACATAATACTTCTAAATACTTATGAAATAAAAACTCACTGCAATCAGTCACTATTAACTTGCATTCATCTGATCATATTTAAATAATAAAGTTACAAAATTAACCAAACATTCGTAATCCAAGACAAAATCAAAATAAGAGAACTTTAATTACTGTTTTCTTCTAAAATCTCATTAATAAACTTTTTTTTTTATAATAATAATTATCTCACACACGGCCGTCTGATCCCAAACTAGGCAGAGCCTGTACTATGGTAACCAGACCGCTGATAAACATACTTATATATTTTTAAATACATACATATTATAGATAAATTACACCCAGACACAGAACAAATGACCGTGCTCATCACACAATATTTGTCCTGGGTGGGAATCGAACCCACGACCTCCGGCTTAGCAGTCAGGGTCACTAACCACTAGACCAACAGGCCCGTCGACATTATTTCTTTTATCTATACATACAAACATTCACTCTATGCCCCAGGGAAGGGATATTCAGGGGCCTACTTAGCTTAACGTCATTTGGCAGACTATATGTTAGTCCCACTCTCTGAATAGGCATGTCTACTTAGTCTAATGCGTCAATCGGGCACTATAGGAATCAGATGGGATTTAAAGTACACAATTTATATTGATCATTGATAGGAAAGGGATATTGCTATACGGATTATATACGGATGGATTGGGCTTCCCCAATCTCTCGTATCCGTATCCATCCGATCCGATTAAGAATACGGAATGTTACGAGTAGATATTTATTAATATATTTATGTGTTCTGCATGACCAGGAAATCAGAACATCTCAGAATCTGGCGATGTCGTGGTAGCCGATGTTAATATGTAGAAGTTAATATGCCCAATATCGATGTTGATCCAGTCCGATCCTTATGTGTATGCATGACCAGTAAACAGTGTTTGCTGAAAGGCTGTACTTCTAGCATATGCTGACCTTATGCTGGTATTGTATGTTTGTGTGAGTTACTAAGTTATTAGGTTCTTATCGTCTAAATTCAGGTGGCTGCTCTGCATGCAGTGGTGGGATCTTTGCTTCTCGGGATTGTGGTACTGGTAGTGGGGTTGGTGCAGTTATCACCGGGTGCGGAAGCAGCTCAACACCGCTACTATCTAATGGGCGCTGGCGCTGCGCTTGTTGGTGCTGGGGTCCTTGGAGCTGTGCTAAGGTGAGTTTAATATATTTGTACATATTATTAAATAGGATATATTGACCAGGTAGTGAAACCAAAGCTATTTATGGTGATACCAATGGACGGATGTTATTGCAACTTAAAAAGCCATGGATACCTCTGGTCATTTCGACCCCAGTTTTGGTAAAGCACGGTTAAATTCTTCATTTTTCTTTTTTTATGGAAGAGGGGGCAAACGAGCAGACTGGTTACCTGATGGTAAGTACAACCGCCGCCCATGAACGCCTTTGAGGAAGGAGTATGCTTTTTTTTTGAACGTTTGAAAGTCGTTTCGGTCCGAAAATACCGCAAAAGACCACTTGTTAAACAGATTGGTTTTGTAAGGCAAAAAGTGTCTTGACACAGTGGCGGAGTGCCAATTGATTGATCCAAGTGATGGGGATGAATATTTTGCCGTGCGGAATGATGGCAGAAAGTTGCGGCCGGTATTAGTCCGAATAATTACACGGAGCATTTTCCATGCATGCAGAGAATGCAGTTAAGCTACATCTATTTTTTTTTCTTCTTTGTCGTTTTTGGGTTAAAATGAACTGGATTCAGTCAACCCCAATCTGAAACTGAATTTCAGTTTCAGACACAAGTTTGTTTTGACTCTCGATGACGATTGCCAAAAAATATTGGGGCGACCATTATAAAAGGCAAGTTTGCAACATGTCCTTGATATGCAGAAGAACCAGTGTAGGTGATATCACACATGCTTGCGAGACACCAGCATTTACAGATTTCAAGCCAGAGCATGCACCGTCGATAACGACCTTAATGCCTCTGTCTGCCAGGAAACTGGTGACCCAGTTATATAATTTCTCGGGAAGCTCATATGAAGGGAGCTTTCAGAGAAGCGCCTTATGCCAGACCCGATCGAAGGCCTTCGCTATGTCCAAGCTAACCGCACAAGTCTCTTACTCGGTCTCGATTGCCTGTGTCCACTGGTGTAGTAGATAGAAGAGAAGAGCACCAGGGACCCCTCTTTTTTTTTTTTTTTTTTCCGTGCGGAAATCCCCTCGGATACCACCTGTCGGTGGCATGTCGGACTCGAACCGACTAAAACCGCACGCCGTCGCCGGGTACTAATAGCCGGGGAACCAGGTATACCCTAGAAAGGAAGTCCCTGGTGCCCCGACATACCTCGGGTCATCTACAGACGAGTAGACGACCCCCCCCCCCCCCCGTGTGGGAACCCCATGTTCCCTGTGCTCCCTGGAAGCGAGCGCGCTTCGCAACGCGCTCGCCGCCACCCCGGCCTGCTTCTGCTAGGGTGACAGATGGCCTCACCTGTCACCCCCAGGCCTGCGCTTATGGAGGACGGAGGTCGTTCTGCGACCTCCGGCGCCTGAGTCGCCTGCGGTGCCTGGCCCGTTCCCGGGCCTGGCGGGCCGGGAGAGTCCTAAACCTCTCCCGGTCCCGCTCGCTCGCTTACGCTATTCTGTAAGCTAGTCTTATCACATGAGTCAGATAATTTACTGCGAATATCCGGTATTACGTAGTAATTATTGCTACTTGTGCAGGAATTAATACAATGCCATTAGAATTTTATTCCTTCTTTTCTGAATCATGTGTGTAAACTATTTCTTCTGTTGTTGTGTGTTTCTTTTTTAAACTTGACACATATCACACATCGTTCTGATCCGAAATCAGAGACAGCCTATGCTATGGTTACCAGACTGCTGATAATCATGCTTATATAGACAGTGCTTTACATAGTATAAAATGGAGTTGCTTTTTGTACTTGTACGCTTAAGTCTTTTAAACTTCGCAACGGATTTTAATGCGGTTTTCACCAATAGAGGGAGTGATTCAAAAGGCGGGTTTATGTGTATCATACATGCATATGAGATGTAGTATAGCACTTAGATGAAATCCAAGACTTTCAAGATTTGTAATGTGTCGTAAAAAATATGTTTCTATGCGCTTACATTGCAAACGCTGCGTAAATAATACGAGATAGATCAAAATAATGTACTACGGAATTGTACTGTAAAAATATCAACAAAAACATTAGGAATAGTATATGTCTATTTCCTAAGGATAACCCACAGTAACTATTTTTGTATTTTACATATCAGAAAAATATAATGGGTAATTTACGAAGCTATTTTAAACAATACAGTATTATTCCTTATCCAAATAAATGCGTAAGATACGTAGTGCATTTCATGTAGATTGATAGATGCCTTTTACTGCATATCATTAAAATGAATATCTTAGTAGATATCAGAGATTTAAAATGCGAGGGCAAAGCGGCCCTCGCCGTGTCGGGCCGTTAGTCCGTCCCGGATGGCAGCGGCCGACATGGGCGGCGCAGGCCTATAAATATTGCATAATAAAAAGGTGTGATGTTGAGTGCAATGTAGATACTCCTAAGGTATTAGTAGTATCTACGCAAGGTACCCGCACGAAGCCGGGGCGGACAGACACACACACTCCGGATCCGGGATCCGGAGTGTGTGTGTCTGTAGCTCCCGAACGGATGAACCGATTTAGATTTTGTTTTTTGTTTGAAATGTGAATTAGTAGGGAGTGTTCTTAGCAATTTTTATTAAAAGTCGGTCCAAGATGGCCGCCGCCACAAAATGGCGGATTACATATTTTTTCACAGCTCCCTCAATATGGGTATCAAATGAAAAGGCTTGACTAGTAGAATACTGAACTACTAGTGACTACTATAGTGAATACTAGACTAATAATGAACGTAATATAATGCTGAATAGCTTGCAGGTGACATCTGGGGCGGTATACTATGGGGATCTTGTGTCAACTAGGGTGAATTTCCGTGCGTTTAGGCGATTCTGCCATACATATTATAGAAATCAAATATAGCTCATGTAGGACCCGTAATATTTGGTGGCCGTGGTGCTTCCCTGTTTAAAAGGGTGTATGCCTATTTTACTTCATTTTGTCTCCCGCTTTGCTAAGGAGGGAAGTGGATTTACTGTATTTCCAACTCCTCCAATTTTCTTCTGATTAATTTCGTTGCGGGTTCCAAGACAGTTTAATTTCTTCCTGGGACTTCCCGAGTGTCATAACTCGGTGTGTTCGTGGGTCACTGCTGTGGATCCTGGTGTACAGGAGTTACAGTGGTGGGCGTGTGGGTGGGATTAGTCCCAAAATATATAGTAGAATACTATACACTATGACAAATTTCAGATCCAAGATGTGTGTCGCAGGTTTTTTTTTTGATTTAATTTTTTATTTGTAAAAGTAATAGATTGATACATTAACATGTTATATTGTGGCGACTACCACATCCAATTCGAAAAATAAGACAAATCAGAAAAAAAAACAACTGAAAAATTATGAACCGCAAAAGAAAACGTGAATTCAGAAGGCGTAGATTGATACTAAATATTGTTTAATACGATCCTTGGAATACGATGTTTGATAGTCAACAAAATCTATTTTTTTGTATTAGAGGGGGCAGAAGAGCAGGCGGGTCACCAGGTGGAAAGTGACCATCGCCGCTCATGAACGTCTGCAACTCAGGAGTCACAAGTTATTATTATTTTCTTAAAGACAACTCCCGCACTAGGAATAAATCCTGTGTCCCGGGACCTTACAAACATACATGAAACGGACACAAAGAACACCCAGACTCAGAACAACAATTTGTGAATCACACAAAGTGTCGTCTCATGTGGGGATCAGACCCACAGCACTCAGTGTAGTGGTGAGCGGCGTGGCGACTGACTACTACGCTTTCCGTGCAGTAAATCCGTGCAATTGGGAGGGTTAGCGATGAAGTGGCCCCGACCACTTAGCCAAATGAACCGACTAGGTAAAAACAATACTTTTAATTCCACCTGAAACGCACTACCTCTAATTCTATATTAAGCTGTATACGTTAGTGATATGGAACACAATTTAATTACGGAATATAGAATTGCTAATGAGTACTGCAGGAGCCTGCAAGCGACCTGGATATTTTTAGTAAGTACGCAAGTTGTTATACAATACAAAAATAACAAGCTTCTTTGATGTGGCGTGTTTTTATCGCTTCTTTTCGGTATAAGACAGAGATAAACACACAAGTATTTTTCATATACAAATACTGGGTAGACTAAAATCCCATGCCAATAACTCTACCTAACGAAAAATAAGTAATTGAAATAGGGCCGTGTAGTACCTAAAGACACCATAGCTTTGAATAAGGCCTAGGCCCTTACACTAAAAAGGTTCAAGCCTGTGGTGCAAGAATCCAGGCAGCGCTGAGCTCTTGCCTTTACAAGCGCTAGGGTACAAAGATCACTGAGCGGGAAGGGAACATCCGGGTTCCCACACAGGAGGTCATCTATAAGCCGTAGATGGCCTGAGGTACGTCAGGGTACTAGGGCTTTCCTTTCTAGGGTATACATGGTTCCCCGGCTACTGGTACCTGGAGGCGGCATGCGATTTTTGGTCGGTTCGAGTCCGACATAATCACCCACTGGTGGGTGGTATCCAAGGGGACTTCCGCACAGAAAAATGGTAGAAAGATCATGAGCCCACATGCTGAGCTATGTTTTTTTGCTACTTGGGCTACTAATACTGGAAATAAGCCTACTGACTACATGGGTACTGAGAGGGGAGTCATTAATTCAAAATAGGACTCCTCGCCATTCATTTTAGTAGAAGGTAGAAGAGGTCGGAAGACCAACGGGCTTCTGTTAGACCTGCGAAGGCAAGCAAGGGTTGAAACCTTTTGCTCGGCATTTTGGGCCCCAATGTAATTAAAATTTATATTTCTAAGCGTAAACAAACTGAACAAAAGCATTTAGCCTAGCTGAGAAAGTTACGAAAAATCCTAGAAATTTGTGCCCCATTTTATTTTTAGTTCAAAAGAAAACACTCCGTTAACTTAGTATTAAAACGCTATAAATATGAAATGAAAATACAAATCTCTTTATTAGTCATTATTTTTCAGCTTTGTTTTCATAAACCTTACCTTTGAGGGAGGTAAGTACCGTGGCATAAATGTTCCAAAGGAAAATGTGTTAATTTATGTTTGCCCATTTTAATATTTGTTTGGTCCTCCTTGTGTACAAAGAACAAACAAAACGACTTCAGCGATGCTTTGTTAACCATAAAATTTGTACCTATTACTGAGAGCTGTTATTCTTTAACTAAAAACTTAGTTATTTATAAATGTGCTATGACCTACATTTGAGACGTCTTTCAAAGGGCAGGTAGCTTGGTGAGCTAGTGCTTGCACGGTTAAACCTCGACCTAATAAACTGTTTTGAACGAAATGCATTATGAATGAACCTTTCATGATAATGAAGAACGAATCATCGTCAGACTTTAATAGTCTAGTTCTGGACATAGGGCTCTCCTTAGAACTGGTTAGTTCCCAGACTGGTTAGTATTAGGGTTCGTAAGTTTTTACAGTGATGTTGTGCCGTCCTTAGTGGGCACTTACGACACCCACGGGATGTATGGTTGAAACTCCGCATCATCACCACAGGGACACGTATACCTTAGATTAAGTACAATAGTGAAGTGAAATAAAGAAATATTTACTAACTCTCGAAAAGATCTTCATTTATCTTAGTAAGTAAGAGAGAGTAAGAGAGAGTAAGCCCAAAATTCTACTTGGGGGTAAATGAAGTCGTTTACGGTTCAGAGCGTTGGTCGTGGTGGGCATTTTTATAAAGTCAAGTACATCATCACTACCAGATTAAAAATTGCAACTTTTTAGTATATACCAATAAACGGAAAAGACAGACGGACGTAACGAAACTATTAGAGTTCCTTCCTGTTCAGAACTACAGAACATTAAAAGATTCTCTAAAAGATTTTAATTATTTTTACTAGTTAATATTTTAACGTTTCTCTTTAATAAGAAAAACAATGTATTTTTAGAAATTAACTATATATGTTGAACTATAATAATAATAATAACCTCACAGATCTCACACACGGCCGTCTGATCCCAAACTAGGCAGAGCCTGTGCTATGGTAACCAGACTGCTGATAAACATACTTATATATTTCTAAATACATACATATTATAGATAAATTACACCCAGACACAGAACAAACGATAGTGCTTATCACACAAATATTTGTTCTGGGTGGGAATCGAACCCACGACCTCCGGTTTAGTAGTCAGGGTCACTCAGACCAACAGGCCCGTCATGTATGTATGTACTTCACTATGTAACCCAGTATTCTGTTTTAATATAAGCAATTTATCATTTCCAGGTGCATTTGTCTACATTGGTACAACCGCAAACTGCGCGAAGAAGCCGAAGAGGACCTGGAACCGACGACACAACACAAGAACGGAGTCAGCACAGTGGAAGACGGCCACGATCACAAGGGCGGCCACCATGATCATAAAGGAGGTCATGACCATAAGGGTCACGAAAACAAGGCAAGTCACGATCATAAGGGTGGCCACGAGCATAAGACAGGACACGACAAGGTTATTCACGAGGCTAAATCTGAGCAAAAACCGAAGCTGAAAGCTCAAGCCAGCGTCGGTCGCGACGTGGATCTCATTAAGCAGCCGTCTGCCGCCAGCGACACCTAAGCTAAGTCCTGACCACTAGTGTATACCTACCTTAAATGTTCGTGATGTGCCGCTGTTTATATAAAAGGAATGGGGCGGTTACGTGCAACACTTATTCGTCGTATATTTTTCGATGTCCCCATTCATTACTCGTATAATTAAGGGTTTATGTATTGACAACAGTCCGTTTCCATGCACTACGTACAAGAATGCTCTCATTCTAAGTAACTACTGAACATAACAGTTCATGTAACATTCTAAACCGCCAATAAAATACAACAGATTTTGGTGGTGTGTATTTATAAGAATTTAGTTGAAAATATGTAACCAAGCTGGTTTTAACTATTGATATGTATGTTTGTGGAATTGATAAACCAGTTGTCATTTAAATAGATAAATAATTGGTTATTCACATTGTGTTAATAAATACTCTGTGGAGTAGTAAACCATTTTAAAAATTTCAACACATTGATGTATACTAAGAAACTATGTCAAAACTTACTTCAAGCCAGTAACTCATTTCAAAGTTATAACGAGTTTAATTCGTTTATTTTGAACATTCTAAACAGTTGGGTTAAAGTCTACTGTCTTATAAATACGTTATAAAATAAAATTTCATGTATTTATGTACATTATTATTTATTTTCTGTTACCTAAGTCTTATTGCGTTACTTCAACATTCTAGTCTTAGAATTTTAATACTCTATTTGTAAATTTATTTTTAATCGATTCTACTTCAATTCCTAGAGTGGAACTAATGCCGAATTGTATGCCGCCATTTTGAAACGGTGACGGATTATTTCGGCAATTTCCTCTTAATTATTTAATGTAACTCTTGGTCTGTCCTCGCGTATCCATTACTCTAATATCTTGTACATATTTTGTAATGTATCTACATTATTCATATACAGTATTACATATCATTTTAATTAGTACCTATCACCTACTCACACCGTAGCCCTGCTCACATCTAACATTTTAAATTTTAATACTTACATCATGGATCGTCAAAATTTTAGAATTGGAACTATTTATAATTTATAGCCCATATATTTTTGAAAAATTTACAAAATTAAAAAAATAATGGTAATACCCTCATGTTTAATTTGCTTTGAGCCAATGAAACTTTCAGATTAAAAATACTTTTAAAACAATCATCTAAACTTTCAAACACTTTACCGTCCGTGTAAACAGAGAAGATAAACAAAATGCATTTTAACGAAACATAAAAAAATATTATTTAACTAAGTACTTACAACACATGTTTGAGACCATGTACAGTTGGGTAAAATTGTTATGATAAATGTATTAGTATATAAAAGCTTACAGATATTGATATTTATTTATTTTACCCTTTCTTCCCTTCTGTATAAGGTATAGTATTTTTATGTGTAACATCTGCTCTCGCTTTCCTGCAATCTCTGGGAGTAATTTCGCGTAAAGGGACGGAAATGTGTTACAGGGAAGCACGTCCTCTTTTATTTAACCAATAAGCCATTAGTTGGCCTTTAGATTGTTGATGAGATTGTTGGTGTTACACATAATATGGTATTACTGTAAGACTCACTAGTTTTCTTTCCATTTCGCATGTCTATTGTACTTAATATTCATTACAAGTTAGACTCAAACCGAATTTGAAGTCTGTCTATCACTCAATTAGGTGTAAAACTACATAGAATCATATTCTTTTCTGTGTAGGTAAATACATTTCATAAATAAACAAGATGTAACTACAATAGCTGTTTGTGTACATTCGGTGTTGTGTATTCGATGTTCATAAGTAACCAAAATATTTGAATAGACAGTGATAATCATATAATATTACTATAATTATAATATCACTATATTTGTATGTGGGATATCGTTATAATATCAATTCAAAATATATCAGTAGGAATTTTACTTTCTGTTTCGTGTTTGTTTCGTCAAACCTTGGAACTTTAATCCTAAGAGACTGAGAAGAGTGTTCTTAAATAAATTTCAAATAAATCATTATTTTCACAGATTTTTTATTTTTTTCTTCTGAAATTTGTTTCATGATAATCAATTTACATAAATTATATAAAACAATTGTGAAAATTGATTATTAATTATCGGTTACAGATTAAATTCATTACCATCTTGGGGTCCAATACTTGGTCCAGAATTTTCAATTACGTATGTTATTGGGAATATTAGGACGCTTTTTTTATATTTTAATATAACCTCTTTTTAATTAATGATTACATGTATTACAATTGGTTGTTTTGAATGATATTTTTGTAAGATATATGTATAACATCTTCGGCATGAAATGAAATAAAGCACATAATGTGGAAATTAATGCATAAATACAGATGTTTTTGAAATTAAACCTAGTGTTGCAGACGAACGAAGGCAAACAGCCTACTTGACAGAGTATATAACAGTATATATGCATTAAATGAACACAGATTTGCCGCGTAATCTATCATCGAATGATATTTTTGAAAGAAATTGTGTTACGTATGTTTTGTTTTAAGTGATAATGAAGACATTGCATGTTGTACTTGTATCTGTATTCGATGAGTGTTTATTTAAGTTATGGGAGCAACTGGCGAACGCCTCTATCTATATCGAACTCTCACAAGCTGAGAATAGAATTTAAAATTTACTGATTAATAATTTACCACCTATAGGCAATGGTTTGACAACGAAACGTAACTACATTGGTAATTTGTCGTGCCTGTGGGTGTAGTGGTTAGCGAGTCTGACGATTGTGTGTTCGATTACTTATTCTGTGGCTGAGTGTACTTAATCTTTATTATACTCGTATAAGTATGTTTATCAACAGTGTGGTTGGTTTATAGGCTCTGCCTAGTTTGGGATCAGACGGCTATGGGCAGGATGTGTTACTATTTTTACAATTTCTTGTATTTAGTACAGTCGGCATTCGTCAGTTGTTCTTATATGTAATTCCATATATTATAATATTACGTTGGTCGATGTGTTAGAATAATAAAAAAAAAATAGTGTTATTGTATATAATATAAATGGTAATGTTAGCGTATTATGATACAAAGTTATTTTAAATCTGCATAATGAGCTTTAGCGCCTGAATTCCGCTTAAGAAACGTTGCCAAAGATACCGTTTATTTTTTTAAACGCCTTATTAAATTGTATAAATTTTTCTGAATAACCGAATGCTTCGTTCCTCGTGTAGTTTGAAGCAGCTTTGAATAACTTTAAAATAAAAATAAAGGCTTGAAATTAACATCAAACCAGTTTCTTTTTTTAAATAAAACATATTAGGCGCCTTTTCGGGTCAGAGTCTGGCGCTGCTTTGACAGTGGTGTGATAGATTTTATAGTATGGGGGGCAAACCAATAGACAGGTCACTTGATGGCAAGCAAAAAGCCACGTTTAACTCAAGAGTGCACATGCCCCCGAGAAGTGATTCCCCCATTTTTGACTCCAGTATTTCAGTCACTCAGTGTAAAGCAAAGAAAGATTTGCATAATACCGGTTTTTTGTGAGTTCATAATATCCGAGCGAAGCAGCCCCTGTGTGCCCAAGCTGGTTTATTCCACGTAGTTTCGTTAAGCCTGTCGAAATGGCACTTTTGCATACATGGCACTAGTGGGAATAGATACTTAAAGTGGAAAATAATACCCAGTTCCTCTATTTTTGTTCCAATATAACATGGAGGGAAGCATTCTGGTTGAACATAGCCGAATTAAATTGTTATAACATTTTAAATATAATGAGTTTTGTTAAGTGATTAGCTATTTTCTTTGAATAAATTGCCGTGCCAAAGTTAACGTGGTTTGACCATACGAATTTTATATAAAAGTTGTGTTTGTAAATTAATATTTTATTGAAGCTTTTCCATATGATTGTGAATCGTGAATTGAAAATATAAATCAAAGGAATTTATATAATTGACATATAATGTAATTAAATTTGCAATTTTATATATATTCCGCTGTTATTTTATAAGTCAGGTATTGAATTAGTTTATTTGCATTTACATATAAAATGTCCTAAATGTTAAATTGTACGTAAATATACGTAAATATTTATTTATTGTATAAAATCTACGTAATTATTTTCTTATAAATACTTAAATGTTTTATTAATCTATCAAGGACAATTTTACTTATTTTATATTTTGTACTGTAATATTAAAAATGTTACGCTATATGTCGAAAAAATGTAATATTATGAGAAAGCTATATAAATCCTTGTTTTTTTTTTTGCAGTTAGAATGTAATCAATTACACTGCCGGGCAAATTAATTGAGTTTTAGTATGTTCTTCTAATATTTACTGGGCTTTATAATATGTTGCAAAACACATTTTAATCTACTGTAGGTATGTTGTGTGTATTTTCTTGACTAAAGTCCCAATTAGGCAGTACAACTGACCTTATGGCTCAATGTTCCTGCCAAGCAACGTGCCCAATTTTTTTGGCCGGCATTATAACAAAATTATTTGGCTATACCTCGAGTTAATATAATGTTTTCGAAACCCTCACAATTATATTGCGAAAAACGAATCATATTTGTTTTAATATATATTCCTGCCTTCTTTAGTATGTACGGTACCTCATATAATTGGAAGGAAAGAAAATAAATGTATTTCATTCGTATGTACATAGTTTAAGGGGAAGTACTATAATTTGCTGCCGTTTTTATTCCTCCTTCAGTCGGTATAATAAAATTTTGCTGCAATTTACGTACTGTTCGAACTTCTTTTTTTTATGATGTAGGTGACAAAACGAGCAGATTGTAAGTGACGGTTAGTGGACACTTGCAACCTAAAGCAGCGTCCACACTATGCCGGAGTATGCCGGGCGAGGAAGGGCGGGCTGACCCGGGCGGCCTAAGCCGGGCGGGTTCGTTCGGGCCGGCACGACGTCCACACCGAAAACGAGGCCGCCCGGGTTATATCTACCTATTAGTTTCAATTCGACACCAAGACTGGACAACTAAAGCCGCCCGGTGCCGCTCGGCACGTCCCCACTACATATTTTCGTTCGGCTCGAGCCGGCATCCTTTGATCTGTACCTACTTTCTGCGGGTCGGGATCGGCTCGGCTCGGGCCGGCTTTTTAAGCCGCCCGGGGCGTCCACACCAACCCGGCTTAGGCCGCCCGGGTCAGCCCGCTCGGCCTCGCCCGGCATAGTGTGGACGCTGCTTAACGGACACAAATAATTTGATTGTCAGGGATTTGGGCCGGAAATAACATATACAGAAAAAAGCTCATATGCGATACGTGGGTTTTGAAACCTTATAAACGTTTTAATACATTTGCCAAATAATTTTGTTAAGTAAAATATATAATTTGACCTCATTTAATATTCTTTGACAACGTATAAAACATTCCGCGGCCGCTCTCTACTTCAATTTGTCGCTGTATAACCGTATAATATTAATGTGAAACGCATTGATTAGTTAGTGTTTAGGATATAACAATATATTATCATTAAAATACATATTTTATTTATGTTTTCATATCCCTTGTTATGACACGGCATACATCCGTTCTCGGATAGATCCCACTTTAGGGATAAAGTCCGGAAGTCCTTCTTGTTTTAATCCCCACACTTAAGCTCTATTCACTGTGATAAAATAACTGTAAGAATAAAATAAAATGTAAATTTAAAATTCAATATAAAATGTTTGTATACTTTTTCTATATTTCCGTAGTTCGCGGCAGTTTTTTCGATTGACATATTATTATGAACAATCTTACTAACAGCTTTAATAATATCACAGTGAATAAAACATTAAAACACCATTTAAATTAAGTTATATTGTATTTAAGTGACATCTCTAGGGGGTCAGATTATGTGAAAAATAAAAGTATTTGGTAATTATTTTTAATTTGAATTGACCCCATTCATTTAGCCCACGTCTAAATATGTTTTTTTTTAATTGTAAAGCGTTGATTTTAATATATTGAAGTTTTATAATATCGTATATAATGATATTTTTAATTTTATTACGACTGTGCTGTTTTATATCTCATATATTTTATACCGATGTCTCTAAATAAAATGTGAACATAACGTTGACTTTTATTGATCTCACTAAACTACCTTGTATATTATTAGGAACCCTTACTAAAGTATTGATGGAGTAAACTCCCCCGTAACCAGGCAATTTAGTTAAACAAGGTGACTTATAAACTTTTTAGCAAAACGTCAGGCAACTTAACTAATCATCTTCATCAACAGTTTTTAGTAGTCCACTGCTGGACATAGGCTCCTTGGACAGGAGCTATACCACGCTAGCCAAACGGGTTGGTATAGGTTTTGTTTCAAGATTTCCTTACTCGTGCAGTGCTGTTTTCCTGCGTGGTTTGCTCCCTTAGTCTGCTCTTGCAACACCCTAGGGATGAATAGGGGTGGTGTCACTCCGTATTCTTAATCCGTCACGACACGGACAGACACAGATACTAGGGTTAAAATGATTCTTGACAATTACCTAATATTACATACTACATGACAACACTATGTAGGTATATATGCATGTTTTTCTAGATTATCTGCCTGTAATAAAATCTTGTGTTAAGTGTGACGTTTAAAAAATAATTAAATACGTAGATTTTACGTACACAGTTTTTAGCTTTTCGCCCCCCAAGGGACTTTGGCGGTTTAATGACGCTTACTCATATTACCATTACCTTCATCATCAACTTTCTGTCGTGTAACTTTGCGAAGTTTTGTCTGTCTGACAACTTGGGTCAGTAATCGCTTTCAGAGGGAACAGAGGAAGAACATAGATTAAGATCACATCACATCACGTCAACAGCCTTTAATAGTCCACTGCTGGACATAGGTCTCTCCTTAGAAAGAAGGTTTTGGCCTACTATACCACGCTGGCCAGGCGGGTTGGTATAGGGTTTGTGTCAAGTTTTCCGTCTTTTTGCAGTGCTGGTGTCCTGCGTTGTTTTGCGCCCTTAGTCGGTTCTTACGACACCCACGGGATGAATTGGGGATGCGTTCGGCAGCGTTCGACATCTGTCTCTCTCCTACTTGAGTGAGCGATGCATCCGCGTGGACAGCTGCTACTCGTATACAATAATACATTTTTGAAAAATGCAACCATTCCATCAGTATTTTCTTATGACGTTGTCACGTTCAACTATCGTCAGTAAACCGACTTTACAGACAACCGATTTTTTATACAAATTCAGACATTTCCTTTAGCTCCTATTATTTACACACTATTTAAAAAAATCTTCATGTTAATAATATACGACTGTTTGATAGATGTACAGTAAAATCATATCTATTGTACGTAGAATTTATATCTTTTTGTAAGAGACATCTAGCAATATTCATTAGAACTTCCACACTGTAACTATTTTATGAATGCCATACTAACTAGATGGCGCCATAGTAACTCCACATAGTTTTACATGAAACTAAAATTTAACTAAGGTTACTTTTAAAAACTAGATGGCGTTGTTACAAATAAATTTTATCAATGTTTTGAAAAGTGTATTTGAAACCGCCTGTAAATACTTTTTGATGCTTTTTACCGTAGCAATAACTAAAATTTTCTGCCTACCCACTCATAAAACTCATTTGATACTTAGAATTGTTATAAAGTGCTGAATAGGTACATAAATCATTTACGCAGGCTTGAACTGTGTCGGTATTATGTATCAAATGCAAAATTACAACTTTTTAGATTCTTGGAATAACATAATATGTAAAATTATACATACTAAATACCAGTAGTGTACATATATATAACTAGTGTTTTAGATAATTGAATGTAGTTCTCACAGATTTTACCACAACTACGTCACATTCGCGATAAACCGCGATATAGTGGCACAGCGCGGCAACGTCGCGCCATCATTCGCTCGCGCCGTCGCGCGCCTCAATAAACGCCCTAATATTATATGACAAACAAATAGGTCTGTACATGTATAACAACCCAAATATCAATTAAAATACAATACAATCTTTGTAAACAAGAAGCTATTTTCTCAAGTTAAACATAGTTAATAGTGAATACTGAATCATGTTTTCTTGGAGTGTTTTAAAGTTTTTACAAATAATTTCCTCAATGGAAAGTAACGTAAAAAGGAAAGAATCAAATAATCACAAATCGACATGAAACGCACCTTCGTGTTAGTCAGAAATTTGGAATGTTGTTGTCAGAAAACGTTTAATGAGCCAGTATAAAAAATTCATCTACCTACATTACAAATACTTAGTTTACATTTAAATAGCATTAATTTCATTTTTTTCAAATAAATTTCAAATATTGGATAGAAACGTATTTAACTAGCGCTTTAATTTTTAATAGTAAACCGCCTTAGTGGATGGACGCACGTAGTCACGCGTTGTAGTTGAAAAGAAACGGAAGCGAATCGACGCTTAAACACTGTGCCAATGTAAGTTGAGCCTAAAGGAATCCTTTCAAGATTTCTGGATACGGAAATGCTTATCCGACTTATCACTTACATCAGGCGGCTCTGCAATGACCCTTTCCATTTCGATTATCATCAGCATCGAATACCAACAATAAGAATTCACATACTTCTTTCCAGTATTTTACATACCCTATGCGGTATCACTCAAGGTATGGAGCAAGCTCATTTTAAAGAAATAAAGGTTGCTTCTCATTAAGTGGTGGCACACAATTCGCATCGTCTGACTCAAACCTTACGAATACATTGATCGTCAGTAACGCTCGCGTGGTCGCGAGACGCCAGTTGCCGCGGTGTACTCTCGCCGCGCGGACCGTTGAGACGCGACGCGGTTTCACTTTCAAAATTTTGTCGGAACCAACATCACAATGCCTCGTCGAATGGCCCTTTCTGATCAAACTGCGAAAATACTCATCAAAGAAGTGAAGAAACGAGGGTGTCTGTGGGATCCAGACGACGATCGGTACAACAATAGATACCATATGGCTCGAGCGTGGTCGGAGATAGGGAATTTGCTTCATATGCCTGGTTGGTATAACAATACCTTAGTTGAGCGACGGCGCTTATTAGTGCAGTATTTACAACATAGATGGCGTTAGTAGTATTGAAATAAAAACGAAAACGACATTATAGTATATATTACCATGTAATACAATGTAAAAGAACTTTAAGTGTTAAGTAGTAGTTTGCTTGATCTGTATTGCTTTGATAATATATTGTTAAATGACTAGACAGTGCAACTGTAAATGTATGTATGTTTTTATAGTTACACTCTTATCATGAACTTACAATAATGAAATTCTACGGCTTGTTAAGTCCAGTGTTAATTCGTGCATTGCATTTGACCGTGTGAATATGATTCCGGAAGGCCAACCTTGGTGGGCCAACCCCCACTTGTCTGCCATCATACAACCGAGTGTGAGATGTGTGAGATTATTGTTATGTCAATGTCAAAGTGTGGACATTTCACATGCGTCTGCTGACCCCTTATTAAAAAAAAACTAGTCCATTTATAAAAATGTCTAATATTGACAAGGTCCGGTGAGTACCTCCCTCAAAGTGGAGGCTTCAAGAGAAGAGCGTACTTCTTCTTCGTAAGAGTTTCAGACGTTCATTTGCGGCGATAGTCACTTTCCATCAGGTGACCCGTCTCCTCGTCCACCCCCTCTAAGATAAATAAAAAAAAATGCTTGATTACTCTGACAATGTTAAATTAGGATGTGTCAATTATAAAACATTGTAATTATAGTTGATAGGTATGCTTACAAATAAACAAATATGCAAGCCATTAAAATAGCAAGTTCTGCAGCCACACATAAACAATAATTTAAAAAGACCTACTTCTTAGCGTTCCTTTGATGCACCGTGCGGGTGCCGGGTCCATCTCGTAGGGCAACACATGCGACTTTGATAGCGTCTGGGAATTGCGACCAAGGAGTAGGTTTAGGGAGTATTCCTTGCGACGCGTCAGCGCTCACCTCCATTGTTTGCTGTGTTACCCCCTCTACCTAACCATATTTGATACGAGCCTAGCAATGCCGCTTTGGTTATCGTTCAAGAAAAGAGCTTACTGAAGCTCTTGGCAATCCAAGGTCTTTAAGTAGGTTATAGAGGGATTTAGCTGGTATAACCCTCGCACCCACTTCCACGGCATACGAGTACAACGCAATGAAATATCCATTTTTAGTTATTTTGTTGGTTAAATCAAAGTACATGTTTCTTTTTAAAGCGTAAAATATAAAATTGGATGTTGGTTTCAAATTATTATTTTTTCCTTCCAGAAGACTGCTTACGAGTAAAATGGAAAAATATTCGAGACATATTCATGAAAGAGATCAGGAAATATGGCCCGGCTATAGAAGATTACACAGGGAAGTGGAAACATTTCGAAGCGCTGGGTTTCTTGCACAAAACCACAACACGAGGGAACCTGTCTAACAATGAAGAGAACAGCTCCGAGGATAAGGAGCTCCCCGTTACGAAGCAGGAATATGTCGACCCAGACGTTGAAGCTGACGAAGAAGGGAGGAATGAGGAAGTGGAAGTTTACTTCAGTGAACATTTCGAAGCTCAAGATCCATTGCCTGATAAAAGAATCAAATTGTCGACAAGTGATGATGACTTCGACATCATGTTCCTCAAGTCCTTAGCTCCGTATTTTAAAAAATTAGATCCCATCAGGAAATTAGTGGTGAGAAGTAAAATGCAAGATATGCTTCTGAATGAGATTGCGGCGCAATCTTCTACTACTTCGTTTCAACTTAAAAGGAGTTGAGAAAGTGAGATATGATTTAAATAGAGAAGATAAAGACTTGAAATAAAAGAAGCCATTATTTACTAAAAGTGAAGGGTATATTACTAATGTTAGTAAAAGTTATTTATTAGTGAATGGGAAGCAAAGAGCAGAAGAAAGTGGGGGCGCCATGTTTCGGCTCGACCGGAGTGATACCACGGCCTCACAGAAAACCGGTGTTAAGCAGTTCTTTCGTTGCTCCTCACCGAGTGAGTGAAGTTATCGTCATAATCAACAGCCTTTACTAGCCCACTGCTGCACATAGGGCTCTCCTTAGAAAGGAGGTTTTGGCCTACTATACCACGCTGGCCAGACGGGTTGGTATAGGGTTTGTGTTAAGTCTCTTTGCACAAACCCTATACCCTCCCCTATAGCTCCCTTAGTCGGCTCTTACGACACCCACGGGATGAATAGGGGTGATGACACTCAGTATTCTTAATCCGTCACCACACGGAGTGAGGTTACCGGAACCCAAACCCTTGACCCAAGGGGAGGGACTCAAAGGGCGACAACGCACTTGTAACTCTTGAGGTGCAGGTGTCACTGGGTGGTGGTAGTTACTTACCATCAGGAGATCCGTCTGCTCGTTTGCCGCCTTGTAACATAATAGCAGAAATAAAACAAATCTTAGTTTTTAAAGGAGTTTCGAATTTCTAGTTTTAAACTCTTATGAGTCTAAACCAGGCGTCTTATGAGTCTAAGTACAGACTTACACTATTCGGAATAGCGTAAGTTAAGATGCTTTTACACGGTACAAGTACTTGCGAAGGTTATATGCTTCGCGAAAAGGACTCGTGTCCAGCGACTCGAGCATAAACCAGCGCGAGCAACTCGCGTAGGTAACCCGCACGATTTGCGGCGCTCGCTAAAGTTATCAACTCTAGTATAATAACATTTTTAATTACATAAGAATTCCCGTTCGTCTAGACATTTTAAGAAATTTCCAAATCTGAAACTAGCAATACCCATACATGTAGGAGTAACTCGCGCAGCAGCATGTACAAGTTACGAGGAATTAAGTTCGGGTTCAGACCCGCTGTGTCAAACTACTAACGCAAATAACCCGCGTCTTTACCCACTCCAACTATTTGCACTGTGTAGAAGCATCCTTACTGAAGAGATTTATATGTATTACGATTTAAATGATTTCAGATGTTATCGTACTCAGTTAATTAGTTATTTATGACCAGAAACAGAAAGTTTAAGGAAAATTTAGACAGTATTACGATAAACTGCTCAGATGGCGTAGTGGTTTATGCGGTCGCCACGCCGCTTTCTGCTACGCTAAGTGTTGTGGGTCCGATCCCCACATGGGACGACACTTTGTGTGATCTACAAATTGTTGCTGTGAGTCTAGGTGTTCTTTGTGTCTGTTTCATGTACGTTTGTATAAAAAAAGAACATATTCTTGAAGGGTTTGTGTGGTTATATCCACATATACATTGTATTGTACAGATTTGAAAGTACTCCGAATTCCTACTGTCTGTAAGTAGGTAATAATACCAATGTAAACTAATAAATGGATTTATTTTGTAAATAGACCATTTCTGGTAAAACCAGATGGTGCTGTCATTTTACTTAAATTTACAATTACTTTTAAAACAAAAACTTAACTTAAAAAATATTTTTAGATCGTTATTAAATTCTACTCGTACGAGTATTTTTCAAACCTATCCGAACTGATTTAGGTAGTACCTAATTTACATCTTAGGTATATAATATGAATATTGTAAAATAGAATTTGAAGAGGCCTGTTAGTCTAGTGGTTTGTCATCAAAAGTTAGGTTCGATTGTGGGAATCGAACCTGACATCTGAACCGACCAATGTTACCTTCTGATGATGCTCATTCCGACTGGGAAGTCGTATGTGTCTCTTTCGTCAGACGGAGACAGAGACATATTAGTCAACAAATATAGATTATATAAGAAAATTTATACATTATATATATAAGTAAAATACTTATCTTATAATATTTACGTTATCTGCTAAAGAATGTTTAATAGAGACTATGTTATGAAATTTTGGGCTCAGTAGCACCAATTTCTTTAGCTAAATACATTAGAGGTTAAAATATGAAATTGCCGATTTATACTGAAAAATTGAAACTAGTATTTTTCTAAGATGTAACATATTTATTTAATCAAGATATTTAACCTAATTATCTATACATTGCTGCAATATAAACGGAAGTTTTATGTCTTTCCGATAGAACTCTGGGGAGCTAGATTCGACTAACTGTGTAAAAGTATTTTGTACTGCCTCTTGGGAAAAAAGAAAATTGTCCAATTCACGAAAAAAATGCTCTTGGTCTGGCGAGTACGGAGAATGACGTATGGTTTTTAACTGCAGCTTCTGTAGAGTTACAACGGTTTCTCGTGTAGTGTGAGGTCTTGCGTTATCATGGAAGAATAATGGTGAAGATAAATTCACGAGTCGGGGCTGTTTCACTGCCAGTTTCACCATCATTGTTTGAAGTTCGGCACAGTAAACATGTGCTGTTATTGCGTGACCAGACCTGAGAAAGCTATGGTGAATACTACCATGTATAGTGAATAATACTATGTCACATATCATCACCATGAGTTTTATGTCAATTCAATGTATCTATTACCATACAACGGCACTTTCATACTTTAACCGCTAATATTAAATGTATCGTATGTATTTCAAATTTGATATTGTCCCATAATAGAACTGATATTTTCTAACCGGCTATGGAATAAGAAAACATTTATAACAACTTCCTAGTTTTAAGTAAAAGGGGTGTCTTGTTGCATTTTGTAATTTTTAAATAAAATATATGTAAAATACAATGTCTGGTCAATGTATTTATTATTCTGTCTGTGTATACTAATATTATAAAGATAAGGAGTTTGTTTGTTTGTTTGTACGCGCTAATCTCAGGAACTACTGGTCCGATTTGACAAAAATTTTCAATGTTAGATAGCCCATTTATCGAGGAAGGCTATAGGCTATATATCATCACGCCAAGACCAATTGGAGCGGAGCACCAATAAAGAATGTTATAAAACTAGGAAAATTTCCTTTTAAAAGATGCCGACGAACCTGTTAAATGACGTCACTGATATAGCTTATCATTTCATGAAAATTAAATGCCTTGAAATGATTAAAATGTTTTGGTGTGGCAAATGTCATAGGTTATGGAGTCTGTGTTTCTGTGGCGAGCTCTATGTTTGATTCGCACCTTTACTGTATATACATACATACACTTGCCATATTCCCATCTATCAGACGATGGCGGATTTTCCACGATCCTAATAAATAACTCGAATCGCGTGAATTAATCGAGGCCCTTCTTCAGTATACTCCCCATCTGTTTAGTATACACCTTTGGATGCTGTGACCGCAACGATTAGCCCACTCACATGGGCGTTATAAACTTTTTCAGCCATTCCCTCTTCGTTCATTCTTTCAACTCCCCACCTGGTCAGGGTACGCCTTTCGGTGCTGCGACCGCACTAACTAGGAGGACGATGGAGGTTAAAATCTCTCAGTCATTCCCTTTTCGCTCATTCTTTCAACATGCCCAACCCATAGCAGCATTCCTTTCTCATTTTTTTTCACTACATCTTCTTTGAACCCACTCCGTTTTGAAATCACAATTCATTATCATCATCATCAACAGCCTTTAGTAGTCCACTGCTGGACATTGGCCTCTCCTTAGAAAGGAAATCACAACTAACGATAAGTATATACTTACTTAATTTAAGACCGCATATTCAAACGCTACCGAATTGAACAAATATGAAGTTTCCTTCTGTTAACTTCTAAAATTCGGACAGTTTTTTACTAGCAGGATAGGCTGGGATTCCGCAGCAGATTTTGTTCAATAGAACATCCGTACATGTGTATGTATGTATGTCCTCCTCTTTGCTAAGTTTAACAGCAAAGCAAATGAAAATAATGTATGGAGAAGCTACAACGTTCATAATATAAAGTAAAAATCAAGTCAGTGAGATATGCGGACATGCCTTTAACTTAACCGACTGTTAATATGGCTTATCTTCCTGTCACATTCTTATACGAGCTCGTGCTTATACTTAAGCACAGATCCATTCACCCGTTTTAGTAAGACCCAATTCTTTTAATTTTTTTCACACCTACCATCGTACTAAAATTTCATTGGTTTAATGACTATTGAGGCATTTGGCAGAACCCGATTGTACCGTATTACTTGAGCGAGGCTAAATTATGATTTACAGAATGTAGTAGTGTAACACGCCTCTGATCCCATCAGGCATACGGCCGTGTATGAAGGGTACAACCGATATTTAGGCTATTCTTCCCTTCCTAAAAACAGTAATTTTGTGTTTCATATAAAAATAATTTGTTATGAAATAAGAAGTGTTACTTAACAATTCTCTATTGCTGACTATACGTTACGAGTCTTATTTCTTTAGTGTTAATCCAACAAGGTTCCCAAATTGATCTATTTTTTAGATTTTTAAAGCAAGATAGAAGATTTAGATTTTTAGGCAATTGCCTTGGAAAAAAATGGAGAAAATCGAAACAGCTGAAAAAGGTGTTAGCAAATTGTTTGTACAAAAGCTTTCCTGAAATTTTTGAGTACTAGTAAATTAGTAGGAATCTACCTAATTAGGTATAAATTATGAACATTTACAATATATAGTTGTAGTACAAAGCAAAACAAGGTGTATAACTTCTACTTAGATTATTAATATCCTTACTAACATTATAAATGCTAAAGTGTATCTGGCTGTTATCTCTTCACGCTTAAACCGCTGAACTGATTTAGATGAAACTAGCTGAGACCCGCGGTGTTACCCGCGTTTGTTGTTATAACCGCGGGCAACGTCGCGGGGCGAAGCTAGTCTAAAAAAAAGTAGCCTTAGTTACTCCTTATGTCATCAGCTATCTGCCAGTGAAAGTCCCGTCGAAATCGGTCCATTCGTTCCAGAGATTACCCGGAACAAACAGACAGACAGACAACAATTGTAAA